ACTTTAACACCTTGGAGCCCACGCAGCCCATATGTGGGCTGCAGACCTCCGACCGCATAGGACCTTTCAGCTCGCATTTTGTTAACAATTATTAGGGTTTTCATTCATTTTCTTTTCCATTAGTTTATCCCAATACGATTTTGTCTGTGATTATTTACATTATACAGTGGGTTCTTCTTTTGAATTTGCTAGATAAGATCCCTAAAATTTCACCGAAGTCCCGCGCGGCCGCGGAACGTAAAACACGCGCGGTCTCCAAAGTGTTAAACAAAGATTGGCCAGCTAACATCCGACTTGAATGTAGCGGATTATCTGATGTGATCCAACTGATGCGTAAGAAGCGCGCGAAACCAAAAGATATGAGATGAAGTATTAGTATGTCATGCGGGCAAAGGCTTTTTTATGTAGGGTACGTTCGGGGATATCGTCAAGTGCGTGGGCGACCATTTTGAAAAAAAAATCTTGAAAGATGCCTCGGAAGGACGCGGTCATATGTCGCTGTACTTGGGTTCCGTTTCGACCTGGTTCGAATTGCAGTAATTTTGTCACCATATTTATGCCCCACCCTGTAAGCGATCATGCCCGAAAAATTCTTTAAGTGCGGAAGTAAGAAGTCTGTAAAACGGTCAGTACAGAGGCAGAGTAGCCAACTCAATTGGCTGCACCTCTCACTCACCTTCTCAGAATAGCAATGTCATTTACAATTTTCGGTTTATTTTGTAAGTAAGCGAGATTAGCCGATATTTAAATTTGTCTTACTTTCTTTGCTTGTTGCCTAGCAGTTTGGCTGTATCTGTTCACACATCATCAACAAGCCACCTTATGCCGCAATATTAGATAAGTCAGCCACAAATAAATTCGGACAGCTAAAAAATGACCATAACACCGGCCTAACCTTTTCGACCTCTTTTACTGTGCTGTCAATTGTTGTTGTTTATTTCTTCGCAGTCCTCTAGAGTGTTTGTTTACACCATGTTCTTCTTTACAATCTTCTAGTTAAAGAGTCATCGATATCTTCTTAACACATTGCGGACCGCCCTTATACAAGTATCTCCGCACCTTTTTTTATGTTTATTGAAAACGAATTATCATTAGTCTACCAACAAGTTTATCAGTGATGATACTTGTTCTTTCCCCGTTCTGAAAATGAGTGCAAGCACATCAGGAGCATTGAAAAATGCCGAATAAATTAGACGAAACTATAATCTTTCGCTTGAAAACGTGTGCACACATGGTGGCGCACGCGGTACGCAATGTGTTAAATAACTACCATTTCGTCGCTAACAATGTGATCAAAGGGTGATTGGAAACTCCGTTTGTCAGCGCGATTTGGAAGCAGTATTGTTGTGCAAAACCTGCAAAGACACTGATGCATTTGCAGCTGTTGCATTTGCAGATTTTCGGAAACTGGCGTTGCCCTTGAAAAAAAAAGAGAAAAAACTCTCAGTCTAGAATGAAGATCCGAGGCAGTTATTGGTCAAGGAAGGGAATTTATTCTCATACTATACTGGAAAACGCTACACTGGAAAAATTACTTGCCAGAGGGCTTCCCTCCATTATACCCTTACGCCCTTTATACGCCAAATCAGGGGATCTAGTCAGATTGTTTAGGATGATTCGAGTACTATTCAGCGACAAGTAAGGGTTATAGTCAAGGGGTGCAAGGTAAGGTTCTGTAGAGTGCAAAATACAGGGACGTTCCCGCTGTTGCGGTTTTTTCTAGCTGCTCCATACTAAGGGCGCGGCGGTTTTTTGAAGACGTCATTATTGGACCAGCACCAGTCGCGCGGTGGGCGCGTGGCAGACTTTGACGGCCTTCTAATGCCCTTCATGAATGACGTACAAGCAGGAAATTCGCACACGCCGCCAGCCATTGTATCTGGCCTTTAAATCTCGTGTTTCTGCAACTGTTCTAAAATTAAATAAATAACAAATGAATGAAAAGAAAAAATAATAAACCGAATAAAAATTAATCGGAATATAAGAAGTGGTTGACGCAAACCGTGGGATTTTCTCAGAGCCGATGACCATCCTGATTGTTCCACCATAAAAGCTGTTTTCTCCTTTACATAGCAATATTTAGCAATGGGAAGCTTGGATTTAGTTATAAAGCCATTATTTCTTTTCATTTCATCTTGGCGTTTGTCTTTCGTAATTGATTTCTCGGGCTATCTTAAGGAAATTGATCTGTTGCATTAAAGTGGGTGCAATTTTGTGCCCCAGGAGTTATAATTGCCACCGCGTGCGCATGTATAGGTGGACGCACTTTAGCGAACATGAACGAAATGAATTTTTTTGCCTGAGCTATATTCTGACACTTTCTCATGTTTTAAGCGATCGCCTCATTATCGGTGCTAGATGTACACGTTCATCGCTGGTAGTCAGTATTGATGGAGTAATGATTACTGATGAGAATCTATGAGGAAAGAAGGAGGAAATTCGCACCAATTGGGTCAATTATGAATGTTGTGGAGCAGCTGGTGCTGCTTATCGGCTGTTGGTCTTAGGAAACGCGTCAAGTGGTGAAGGGGTTTTTTGCCGCCGCAGTGCCTTAGATTTTCCGTCGAAAAAAGCCAAGAGATCGAAAGCCTCAGAATGTCCATATATACTTCCACCGATTTCCGAGGAGTGAAATACAAATGCTTTTGTAATCCTCAAACCGTGGTTCTTAAGTATCGCGCTGTTGGTGTTATGGCTAGCAGGCCATTATAATGCGGACGAACCGGTTGCGTGGTTCGCATGAAGGTCATTGGCTACGTGCCAAGATAAGAAACTGCCATTTCGTCAGCAATAGCGAGCACGACTGAGGGGGTAAGGAGAGGGACAATGGCTAGCGCCGTGACTGTCGAGGACATCTAACGCCGGGCAGCCCTTCATACATATGTCGGACTTTGAGACGATTTCTGTTCGCATAGGGATTTTTCTGGTATTCATGCGGCGAGAATGTATGACCGTATAGACAGTTTTATATCAATCTAATACGTACATCTGTTCATACGAGTTTTTCTGAGAACCACTTAAGTATCCATCCCACGTGAAAGGGCAAGTAATGAGATCGGACTACCTAGCAGTATCTACACGCAGCAGTCCCCAGCGTAACATTCCTCGAAGGGTTTTGAGCCTCCCCCCATTCACTGGTAGCTTCGCCTTCAAGAGGTGAAGCTATCGCCGTAGTGTCTCTCTTTCTGTATACTGCGTCCTATCGCGCATGTATGGAGCCTCGTTTTAGCTTTGCTATTGGGCGATCGCTCTTCATTGTTCCTGGGTGGCACGCACATGGATCATTGACAATCCTTTCGAATATGCAGATGACAGTCAGCCAGCTACTTGGGCGAGACGTTTTTTCCGCAGGTATCTTGTGAATTTGGTCAAAGGAATTTTATAGAATCGATGTAAAGAGCGGAAATTGATTTCCATTATTATGTTCCGTGATCAGCTTGGGAATACGGTCTTATTGCAACAGTGTTATGTCGTTGTGCTAAACTTTTCGTTGACGCTACGGGGGGAGCGTATGCGACTGAAATCTTTTACAATTTTCACCTGTAAGTTTTCTTTGTGCAGTTTTTCAATTTTTGAAATGGTGAATCATACGCTGTTGTTTCAGTTGCTACCACTGTATTTAAGGATTAGTAGATTGCCATATTCTACCGATTATTGATTAGTTTTGTTTCAGCGCAAGCCCTCGACAAGAACACATGGGTGTACGACGTTACTGGCCTGCTTCAGCATTGTGTTGCTGTTCTTCGTCTTTGTCATCAGCTGACAGATCAGTTGGCTGCTGTACCATTACAGCATGCTTCACCCCAACTGAACCATATGCTGTGTCAGGCAACTCTACGTGTGATGCCGCGATTTGATGATTTATTGAGCGCTGTCGCTAGCCCTGCTGTGAGTTCCCGCAGTGGTGAGCAGTTTCGAAAGTCAGACGAAAGTTCGCTTTACAGGTCGATATTCGTGTCCTCGAGGCCCGTGCGACGGCGCTCGCTACCGTATGCTGGGCATTGTATCTGCCGTTCTCGCTCATTAGTCAAAAGTACAGAGAGGTTGGGACGAAGTGTTCTTTGGTCCACCCGGCACTCGCACTTATTTTTTCTTCAACGAGGAACATTGTGGCTTCAAGATATAGTTGCTGCTTCTTTCTAGGCGATGGGAGAGCCGTTACAACAGATGGATCTCCATCTGGATGCTTTACGCCATGCCGCAGAAATAGCTGAGCGTGCCAATCTTGGGAAGGTAGGTGGTTTCTGCGAAACACAAACGAATTATCCTTGTATTTCTACATGGTCTGGATATAAGTGACGGTTGTGGTCGAAATAACCCTCCATCACTTGTCCATAACAAGTACTAGTATTACAGCTGCATCTATTCTTGAATGTTCGATGTTCAAATAAAGCCTTCAATAATCGCTGCAGTCAATGAGATGTGTTTTAGTTAGAACTTGACTGGTCACATCTCGATGCAGTCGCGGAAAATGTTGCTGCTGCGCAAGAAGCGGCCAGAGTTGTTACCGAAACAACGCCGCTTGTTGATCCAACCGAAAATGTTACTACCGTGGGAGATTCTGCGAAGGAATCCACTGATGGGTGAGTGTTCTTTGAATTTGGGATTCCGATGGTGGAATTTTGGGACGACGATTTTGGTATCGCTTCGGATTATTTATTACCCTTTCCTCTGTAGTAGGTAGTAATTCAAATTCCGCAGCATCGTCGGCCATTGATACCAGTTTTACATTTTGGGGAATTGGAAGATTCTAGGGTCATAGTGATCAACTTCTCGTGTGTGAAAAGGTCCACTGGGCCCTAGCGATCAGTTAGGGATTTTCCAAAGGCAGTGTTTATTAGTGGCGAGTTAGTATGCGACTGAAAGCTCGACGCGGTCGTTGGTTCAAAACGCCCGTAGACCCCTCCCCCGCTTGATGGTAGTTTGGGAAACAGCGAATTTTCGAGTTTCGGGGTGAATTTGGTATTGATTTGTGAAATCAGGTCTGTCACTGCTTTGGGATATTGTTCTTTGTAACATTGAAAGTTGTACTTCTGAATCGTGGTTGTTATGGTGGAAGAATTATTTCGGCCAACGTTTCAACCATCCCATCGTGTTTTCAAATGCCTTGTTCCACCGCAAAGTAAAAAGAAGTGTAGTGTACACTCCGTCACTTATAGCAAACTTAGGTATACAATCAATTTGCTGCTAATGTATATGACGAGTGGAGTGCTCCGCGGTGAAACAAGGCCTTTGAAACGGCAGGACTGCGAAACGTGGGACGAAATAGGTCTTCCATCATAACAAATTCGACAGAAGTACACCTTACACTTACAACAAGGGAAATGCTGAAGTTCAGTATGAAAGGGCTAGGAATTGCTATTTGTTTACACTCATAATCCATTTCCAGGATGAATTCGGCGCCTGGAAATGGCAATCATCCCATCGATCCCAGTGGATAATTTCACGTTGCATAACTGTTTTTTATTCTTTGAGTTCGTACTTCGTTATATTTTTGACGTTTGCATTTTCCTACAATCTGCAATTGAACCAGGTTATTGAAATCGGCTAGCAGAAAAATTCAGGTAATAACGATCATTAACGGGCTGTGTGTGTTTGTTTTTAGTGTCTAAAAATCTTATGCAACTGAGCACATGTTGTTATACCTCCCGCGTTCTACGGCTGTGTGTTGTTATTCTATAGAGCTTTTTAGTTTGTGGTGGTTTGTACCGTTAACGCGTTGCTTATGTTACTACGTTACTTTTATTGTATCAAAGAACCTCGTAAATTGTTACACGTCATCATATTAATGTTAAACGCCTCAATATGTTGACCTCTACGATGTTCCGTTCATTGTACAACTAACCTTCAAATCTCTTCCTCTCCTCTCATATCTCAGTCACTAGCTGTGTAGGTTCGTTTGGTCGCACTGAGTGTGCGGTATGGTAGAGTTATGTCCTACTCGGGTGATTTGAGATCACGCAACACGCTGCTTCTTACGGGACATTGTATTTATACGCTTGTTTTCACTTGTTCGACAGTTTTTGTCCATACCTCTAATACTAACTTTTTCTGTCCTTATGAAACCTGTTGTTTTTCCCCTCTCATTTTCTTCCGTTTTACTGAGAATTATGTGGCATTTGTCTCAATCATCATTGTATAGGTATCACGTTGTTGATATGAAAATCTTTTACTATCCACTCTCAGATTCGTTTTTGGAGAAAATCAGATGAGGCTTTTTGTGGCGCCTTGTTTTGATATTGTGATAGTAACAATCGGGATTTTTTCGGTCCACTGAGACTTCATGGGTAAGCTATTTAGTGAGTGGGTGCCTCACTCGCAGCTAAATGACGTAGTTTACGGTTGTTACACCCAGCGTGGTAAGACGCATCGTAATCATCATTTTTGCCAATTTGCGTTCGAAATTAAGCCAAATTTTGCTCCTATGGCTGTAAAACTTGGACGAATTTCGAATGCAGGCGATTTTTAAATTCCGTTTGACGAATCTGAGAGAGTTAGCAGCGTTTTTTGTACGGGCGATATTCGTTGAAATCGACGTACAAGTAGCATACGCGTTGATTGAATGTAGTATTGTGTCTCATTATGGAGTTGATCATTCATCAAGCTGTTCCGAATAAACTGTTATGCAAATCATTCTTGCGTATACAGTTGGTTACTATTTGACCTAGATACCTTATCAATGGTATCAGAGCAAAACGTATGACTAAAGTATGAAGTTAAGGTAGCGACGCTATGGCGTCTATAAGAGACACTGTCACCGAAGCACTCGGCACGGTTGGTTTTTGATTGTTTAATAATTTTGATCATTATGACAGTCAATGGTCGGAGGACTTGGGGGAGTTGGTCGCGTCTAGCTAGCTAAAGGTGCGCTGACCACTCCATTTGGCATTCTACGGTCTATGGGTTAAGCTTGGGGTTTTACTATGTACGTGGTAACTGACAAGTCCCGGACAACCACTGCGATTTAGACAGTGTCAACGAGTTAAAGACGTGACGTTTAACACATTGCGTGCCGCGTGCGCCACCATGTGACGCACGATTTCGCAATCTGATTTATTTGAAATTTTTCACGCTCCTGAACTGCTTGCACATATTTTCAGAGTCGGGAAACCGTACGTGTCATCACTGATGAAATTGTTGATAGATTAATGATGATACATTTTTGAAAAATATAAAAAGAAACGAAGGTACCTAATGCAAACGGTGGTCCGCAATGTGTTAAACTGTGGTAATAGTGGCATTCGCAGGTTGATAGGTGGCAGTACACGTGGTTTTATTGAAGTTATCGAAGCTTTAGATTACTGAGGCATAAGAACCATTTACCCTCTAGGTGACATAGTTGTCATGCCTCGGAAAAGGGAATAGTTGTCGTTGCATTCATGTAACGCCGATTAGTGTTGCGAAGTAACACACTGCAGAAATATATGACCGTCCGTCGGGTATTCTAAGGAAATCATTGCTTTGTTAATCTGAGGAGATCGCATTTTTGGCGTTTAAGTATTAGGTTGTCTCAGAAGTTCGTGCGTATTTTGAACTTATTTTTGAGCCTGCACTATTCCAAGCACGTGTGCAACCTATCATCATTATATGTACCACCACTATCAGTGACTTGTTACCAACATCCAACCAAAGATTGGCAACTTAACTCTCAAAGGGCTGGCAGTTATGAGCTGAAAAAGGCAGTGAGGTCGATTTTGAGGTGCTAATGGGAATCGTATTTTTTGTCGTCAAGAAGGCGGCTGAGCAGAAAGGGCAGATGTCTTTCGAAAGAGAATGACTACCGCTGCACGATGAATGTGGTAGGCCTTTTCAGCTGGGCTTCGATATTCAGAATCGCTTCATTATCGAAATGTGTGGCCTCGGGTGTTGTGGAGCGTACACACTTTTTCGAGTTTTAACGACATTTGTTGGGGTTTCACCGTGAGTCTCTGCCGTTGATCTCCCTACACTTGAGTGAATTCATATCTATAATGATTGACATGTCTCTAGTGGCTTACTCGATAACGCTCCAAAAGAGGTGGAGCACGACCTTGTGGTGAATTTCTTCACTTTTCACCCTCTTCTGTCCGATCTAGTCCCTGGAGATTCTAGGTGTGGTTGTCATGGAACCTGAGCTTCTCAACTGCAGTAGTAGCTTTGTTCAACCAGGGCGTACGGATGGAGCTGGACACAAATTGTAGACGGGACTCGTGCCGCACTCCTGTCATCAGTGATCAACTCATGAGGGAATCTTTGGTGAGGCTTCAACCATTCTACGAAGGAGCGAGAACCTCTACGCATTGTGCATCTGGAACACCAGGATGTGGTTGCCACAAAGCAGGTAGCCCCGTGTGGAGTGACTCCCACGAGAGAGCACAGATTCTCCAAATCCGACACTGATGGCCTCTCTGAACGTGGATTTTTCTACCGGCTGTAGTCTCCTGGGCAGAGAAGATCCAGCTATTCTGATACCTCACTGTTGGTGAGGGCGAGGAGATGTATCGCGATGCAGATGCCGCTTCAGGCTTCAATCGGTTTGTGGCTCAGTAGAGCTGCTTAAGTCAGAGCGCGAAAAACATAGCTCTTTTCTCTTTCCACTTTGAACTCGAAGAAGGCGACGATGGTGGGCAGGATTCGGGTATAAGCTACTGCACAGTGTGCCCTATCCACAGCCTACGTGAACACATTTGAATTTGTTGAAGGAGCTTGTGGCATGAGATCCAAAAAATACGCACGAACTTTCGAGACAACCTAATAAATAGATTGATTCGGTAACTAGGATTTTTTGCACGAAACCTGGAGAAGACTTGGAACTTTTGTTCTTTGAGCCTGAGCTCATACCTATCACCCCCTCTCCACGAACTTCTCGAGCTTTGAGGCGGATCGGCAGATTCCAAAATTTTTCTGACCGCTAGGCCGTGCTTATGGTTAGAAGTGAGATCATTTAGTATCCATTGCCTGAGACAAACACTTCGGGCCATTTCAAAAATTTTTATCACAACAGGTGGTGGTATTCTTACAATGATGTTCACAATGGAGTGCTAGTGGCCATCTGGGATACATGCAATGCCAAACTCACCTGCTCACACAAGCAGCCAGAGTTAATACTTGATGCAGTGATCTATGATATGACTTTCATATGCTGATTGTGCAAATTAAATTTCCATAGAATGCGTTTTTTATCCCTTTCATTTGCCTGGGCATGTAGAAGAAGTGGGGCATTTCAGTAGCGACCTCACGCGTAACGGTCAGTTTTTGCGATAGGTCTTGTCCACTAAAGTGGAGTAAGTGGATATGTCAATGGGTTAAAAAAACAGCGTGAGGCTCCAAGATCAAAACTGTTCATTTCGCTTGAAACGCTGTCCCAAAAGCTTGTTATTGATTTTCATGGTTAACGTTTACGATGCTTGTTTAAGAAATCTCCGGATGAAATTCGAAACATATGTCTAATTGCACACGTGGACCATGGCAAGACATGCTTCGCCGACTCACTTGTCTCGACAAACGCGATCA